ATGAGACATTCAACCTTTGTATAATATGATCTATGACAGCGAGACAAGCAGATAGATGGATAGTTTTATTACAACTACTAAGATTGCAGCCCAAAGGCTGGATTTCATTGAATATTACAAGTACTAAATTTGTAGGATCGAGAATAAAGTTACATTATGCTTTCAGTGAATTATGTACAATAAAACTCTTTAACTAAAATTATTAAATATGTATTAATCACCACAATATATTTTTATTAGCTCTTCTGGAACCTGTCAGATTCGCCCACTGAATCATTAAACACGTGTTTCTTCCTCAAATTTACGGTATGGTTTCTTTCAGACTAAAGTGCATGCTGCTTATGAGATGAATCGTGTACGATTTTGTTGGAATATTTTTCGTGAGAGTTTCTCTTCTGTTGTGTAAGGAATCGTGGTCTGTCTCTTGCAACACATGACATTAGTCACTGAATTATTGTCAATCAAGACATGGCCTGAAAACTCAGTCAATCGTTCACAAAAAGATAGGGAACATGCAAGCAATCTTTAGTTTGCAGAAGAAAGCTGCCAGAATACTCCTGACAGTACAGTAGACAGAATATCAGGATTTTACCCATACACCGCACATCTGCATCACCGTATAGTATTTATACATGAAACTTGTGGTTAGAGCTCTATAACAAACGTACTTGCAGGGAGGTGAGTCCGGGATTGGACGCACCGAGGGTGGCTGGAAGTTTCCCGAACTTACCGAGCGAAGCGAGGTGAGTTCGGGAAACTTCCAGCCACCCGAGGTGCGTCCAACCCCGGACTCACCGAACCTGCAAGTACGTTTGGTTTTTATCCCATAAGCCGAGCCATACACACATTTGTAGCTCTTCGCGATATATTCGTCGATGTTTTGTGAACATTTTCCCTGCCAAAAAAATCACTGGGCAAGAAAATAATTCTTTATCTACGTCTACATTACCTTTACTGCATTTTTTCTTTGGTTTTTCTTCAGTCTCAGTATGTTAGTCACCGAAAAAAGTTCTTTAAAATTTAGGTTTATCAGCTAAATCTTGTCCGCCATATTTGTTATTGTTATTGCAACGTAAGCAGTTTAGCAGGTGAGTTCGGGCGAAAAGCAGGTGAGCTCGGCAAAAAGCAGGTGAGCTCGACGACAAGCTCACCAGCTCTAAACCAATCAGAAAGCCGCTTTTAACACAGGTATGGGATAAGAAATCTGTCTCTCTGTAGGTCAGTTGGGTGCAGGTTAACTCGATTCCTGGCAGAGGGCCGATAGTTGCATTTTTCGCAAATGCTCTTGGTTAGGTCTAATTAATATATAAAAATTCTACTCGAAATTCATGGACTGCCATCCGAATGACGCGATCTGTGTCGGAGTAAATTTGCAGTTGAATATTGCTATTAATATTGTTAGCTCATTATCCTGGCTCGTATTACTTATGATATTTAATATTTATTCACTGCAATGGAGGTGAATAGTGCAAGGATATTCACCGAAACGCGAAGCGTTGTTATATTCTATTCTAGCTAGTGCTTAGCGGCCATTCACTTTTTGTATCTGCGAAGCAGATATATATGCTATCGCAAACGTGACCGTACCGTATATGTTAGCACGTAGCCATTCAGCGACGAGCTTATATAATTTAAGCCAATCTTATATAATTTAAGCCAATCAGCGATTATGTTACATCGTGTCCGCCATCTAACCTGCAAACGGGCATGGTCTGGCCTCGTGTTATTCAGGTATTCTCGCCATTTTGGATTTTCAAAAATATCTTTTTGTCTTATTTTCTCGCCATTCTATTATCAACATGGAAACTTATCCTCATCTGGTAAGTAGTCAAAATGTCAAATACCACATATTTTATTATATACATTTTAATATACAGTAAAACAATCATTGTATAAGTACTATTTACAACATGAGCGGCCGTCTTGTATCGGATATGCAAACTCGAGCCGAAGGCGAGAGTTTGTATATCCGATACAACACGCACGCGAATGACTTAAAAAACGACTCATCTTATGTGTTCATTGGCGAAGTAATTTTAAAAATAAACGTTGTCTAAGCCGAGAAAATCAAAGTTAAAGTTTATGTAAGTCAACATGAATCTGTATCACAGATACGACACGCCTAGGGCCATTCCATTTAATGTACACACCCCCCCTATGGACGAGGTCAATAAAATTTGAACCCCAAAGAAAAAAAGATCAAAGTGCCGACACAAACACCCCCCCCCCAGAAATTAATAAATTTTTGCCTTATCCCTCAGAAAAAACGCAAAGATCAAAGGATGCCGATGCACACAACCCCTCAGAAATGGCTTTACCCTCTGAGAAATTCTCATCCATAGGGGGTACATTAAATGGAATGGCCCTTATGATTTTTCTTTGTGTTTTCTTCATGAATTATTGAGTTTTTTAATATTTTAAACAGTCAAAACATAGCAGGCAAGTCGGGCAATATTGCCAATGAACAATATTACGATATCAAAGGAAACTAATGTTCTCAGGAGATGCTGAATTAAATCCTGGTCCTGTATTCTGTAACTCTGTTCAAAACAACAGTCCAACTAAGCTGTCATCAAATGTAGTGTTAGAGCAAAAGTTAAGATGTTATCAGTTAAAATACGTATACATAATTTTTGATTTTGCACATTAGAGTATAAATTACAGTAAACAATTTTTACAAACATTTTCAAATGCTAATGTAAAGTAATACCACAGTGGTAATACCCACCCTCCCTCCTCATTTTGCTTTCTAACATAAATGTTTTTGTTTAGAGATTGATACAAGAATGATGAATAAATGTACTGGATATTGGCTGGATAATTTTGTCAGAACAATGGTGGCCACTTGCAAGTCAATCTTACCTAAATTCATTAGTATGGAAAATAACTTAATTTAACAGCTACAATAATCATATATCATATGGATAGATCAGATCAATTGCACACAATGTGCAAAACTAAATTGTTTTTGTGTGGATATGCTGTGTTAAACCGAACAGTGTTGGTATATCATTAAAGTGGAAGTCAAGTCCGTTCTGCGCATCGGTTCTGCTCATAACAATGTGAGGACCTCTAATGTGAACATTGCCCAAATTTCAAATGTTTCGAATTTTTCTGAACATAAAGTCTATTTCATATTCATTTAGAAGGATAGCGAACCAAAATGGTGTTAGATATTCAGACAGTACATCATATTTTAAAAAAATACAGGAGTTCTAAATGTAAACAAACCGTTTGTTTACATTACGGACTTGACTTCCACTTTAAGGCACATAATTGGAATTGAATTATATACTTCACTCATGACCTTCAAAACATTCTCTACTATTCAGTGATCTTCGATATATGATTGACTCATTGCTACAGTAATGCATGTTCCTCGAATAGTTTGTGTATGCTACTCAATAGTTAACATTGCCAAGTGTAAACAACAAGAGACAGAACTTTTGCTTCATATGATTACAATAAAGTTTTGAAAACTCTATGAGTATGGATTGACAAGTGACAGTTTACTAAATAGCTGGCTGCCGGCTGTATAGACACTGACAGCATAATTATCTGTTACAACCATAATTGCATTATAAAATTAGTTAAATTTTCTCGGCGGCGGGGGGGGGGGGGATTGCCCCTGCTGCCCTCCGCACTGTGTACAGCCCTGTTAGATATGTATTATGTTTGACTTTAAAATCTTATTTGCTATTAATATTATAATAAGTGATGAAATATTTCAATTGTCCCATGTCGTCTTCATTATTCAGTTCCTTTCAAGAAAATACAACATGTGAATCAAGTTTTTTCGCAGATACATGTACGTGTCGCGTACCTATTTTTTAAGTTGTCGATTGGCTACAGGGTAGGGTGGGGAAACGATTTATTGCTATTCGTAGATTCATGTACGCGTAGCGTACCTATTTTTATTCAATGAAGAATTTTATAAAAGTTCTCGAGGAAATATTTGAGAAAAAAAGGCAAAAATTTCTCCTTTTTTTTGCCATGCTGAATCGAGTTATTAATTCAGCACGCATTTCAGCCAATCAAAAACGTTCTTGTATAACATGCATATAGAGGATATTACACGGCGGCGCGAAGATATGACTTTTATCTTCGAGTGGTGAAAACAATATTTTACGAACGAGCGCAGCGAATAAGTAAAATATTGTTTTTAACACGAGAAGATAAAAATCATCTTCAAGCCTATTATATATTTCCAAGCAAAAAATTGTGAAATTTCACGCTCAAAAGCAAATTGTGTTTATTACGGCCATGCATTTATAGTGTCAATGTTAAACAAATTATAGTAACTACAACTCAAACGTATTTATATGAAAGATACATCAGGTAATTATTGAAAATATGAAAAATGTTTCCAACTGTGTTAATAAACACTGTCAAAACTGTCAAAATTTGCTTCCCTGACATTTTATTGGCTTCCTTCACTGTCCGCACTTGTTATTATAACGCGGCGCTTTTTCGTTGTGCGGAACTCGCTAACTTCTTGATTTTGCGTGAAAACATTGACAGTTCCTATTTCGCAGTTGTGGAATATTGGCATACGAATTTGTTAGCATACGAGGTTGGTTGAATTGATTTCGTTTGAGAACAAACCTCGTCGACTGCCATTATCTGAAAAGTATCTTGTTTTGAAGTACTGGCGCCAGATAATATAGCTGATATTTGTTGTTGTTTCTTGACGGCTGCAATTCAATAAATTCAATTCATGGCAATTCAATAACTCTAAATTAAATAATAACTCTACGTCGAGTAGTTGTTAATCGAGTTGACGTTTTTATGACCAGTAATTTGAGCAATTTCAGTGGGAGGAACGTTATTGTTCACCAGCTTCTGGACAAGATGTTTTCTTGTGCTGTGGTTCACAAGTTGTCGCTTTGTTGCCTGTAGTTGTGAGCTTGCATTGACCATATTTTTCATCATGGACCTGAGAGAGACGCCAAGAGGACAATTCTTGTACCAGCTTTTCCCGGCTTTAGGTATTTCTGTGTTTATGGCCAGGTATAGAACGGCGAGTCATCGTTTAACATTTGAGCTGGTCTATGCTCTTGATAATACAGGAAAGCAGTGATTGGACAGCGTTCGGTGTTGTCTGGATTTTCAGACATCTTTGGCTTTGTTTCTCTCACATCTCTAGGGTTTTCGCCAGTGCCAGTTTTCATTTGTCGTTCGGTAGCAAACTGAACGTAACTAACTCCTTCTGCATCGACTTTCAGCTCTAAATCTCCCCAGCAGAGGTCCCTTTTCCTTCCCAGGCCGCATTCCAAAAATATGCAGTTATTAAGCCAGACAGTGTTCAAAAGTGATCTTGGTGTACCATTTCCTAACACTCCTTCGCTGTACAACTGTTCGATCTCTTCGTCGGTCAATGGGCCATTACTGTTCGGCTTGTTTCCTTTTCCCAGGGATTTTAGCAGTTTTTGCTTCTTTTTAAGGATATCCTGAACTCCTTGTCGTTTAATAGAGATACTGGATAACCATTCTCTGATTGATGACGGTTCATACTCTTCGCCGCTCTTTTTTCGGACACTTAAGACAAACCTTTGACAACCCCTCTCCAACTCGTTCGGGTGGATTTCCTCGATTTTTCTGCGTTCACCTTCGGCCGCCAGAAACTCAAGGAACACTTTTGTGTCGTAGAACGTTTTTCTTCTTGTATTTTCGTTTTCGTGTTCCTCATACTCATACCTAGCGTATAGCGGCTTTCGTATTGGCTACGAGGAGGTGCGTTCAATCTCGAACCCACCTGCTGACGTATGTTTAGGAGGGGGATTCGAGATTGATGTTTCGGCTGCGGCCATTACGAAGCGATTTAATTAAACAAATTTCAGACGAAGATTTAAATAAAAAATAAAATAACTGTTTTTAATTGTTTTATTATTATTTTTTTTTATTTTGTTGGATGAAAATGGAATATTTTATATTCAAAGTGGAAGAGAAGAAGATGGCCACCGAAATTTGTTCGGCACGGGCGGGTTTATATAAATCTTGGCAATGTTTTCGCAGATTGTGGGCATTTTCTCTTTTAAACAATAAGGGAATATTGTAGAGAATTTTTTTAGCTTCAATTTAAGCCTAAGTTTGTTTGCGTAGTATGTTGGTGGCTAAACTGTTCGTTATCCAAACAAGAAATTTTAAAATGCGTAAATTCGTCATATCAGTATTTTCTACCGAAATGGCATGTGATAAAATCCAAACATACTTGCAGGTTCGGTGAGTCCGAGATTGGACGCACCTCGGGTGGCTGGAAGTTTGCCGAACCCACCTCGCTTCGCTCGGTAAAGTTCGGGAAACTTCCAGCCACTCGAGGTGCGTCCAATCTCGGACTCACCGAACCTGCAAGTATGTTTGTTATAGATATATATCATCGTCACTGATGTGGACAAACCTCGCCATGTTGCGAATTGTGAAACAGGCGCGAAGGCAACTATACTCGTAAACAAAGTCACGTGATCGATATCTTCACTAGTGAAGATATGGAAAATATCTCACTGTGTGTTTTTCAGTATCTCACTCTCTACTATATAATAAATTATAATATTTACCTTTTGCTTTACTCGCCAACACAAAGGTGAGTAAAGGCAGACCAATTATTCCAACAAGCAAGTCTGTAACCGACTGAACGAGAACAAGAAAGTAACACAATTTGTTTTTAAGTTGAGAACATTTTGAAATTGTTCGTATTGCAACACTGTTCAATAAAATAGTCACAAATATTAGGACGCCATTGAAAACACTTGTAACCATCAGGTTAGTTACAAACTCTTTCGGAGGACTAGTTAGAGATTGAAATTTCATATGATAAAATGTGCATAATTTAACAGTCGTGTCTGTTGTTGCATTATAAGTCATTTTTATATTTTTCTTTAATTCTTCCTGTACTTCTCGTTACCATGAGAAATAACTTTCAAACTTCTAACTATGTTATATATGTGAATTTGAACGATATCGGACTTCATATTTTAATTGAAAATTCATTTTTATATTGCTCTTTCACACGTTTAAATGGGCGTATTGTCAAAGTACTGTTTATTAAACGAGCAGGAGTGTTTAATAAACGAGCAGGAGTGTTTCTTCTGCTATTGAAACGTTATGCGACGCTGCAACATTTGCTGCAATTTTATACGCCGCAATTTAGTTTGGTTGATGGCAGACTATTTTGTTTAGAATCTATAAAATGGAACTTATACGTAGGGTCCAATTAACTTCAACTAAGACTTTTGTTAGGATCACATAATGTTACAACTGCGCAAAATTCACACCGCTACACACAGCCACAGCTGCATGGATCAAACATGATCCAAGTTTCGGCCATGCCAACCGTTGTATGAGATCTCTGATACAACGAGGTCGATAACAACCAGGACGTGGTCTGCATGAAAACCTAGCCAGTTGTATACACAACCCACCCTGTCAACTTTCCGTGTGGGAGGAAACCTGAGCATCCGGACAAAACCCACGACTTTCAGCAGAGCGTTGGGGGGGGGGG